GTTCAGCATCTTAGCTGTGGAGGGCAGTGTCACTGGCCCTCATATGTGGGATCCAAACCGGGGCCCTCTGGTGTCCCAAGCCAGTTCTTAACCAACGCACCATTTGGCCAGCCCAAAAATCATATTTTTTTGATAAATGAAAATCCAGATCTGATGAATTAGAATGTACTATGAGTTTAAGAAACATTAAACCACACACAAAAGTCAGTAGCTAGAAGACCTAGGTAACAAAAGAAACCCAAAGCTGATGCAAGGATAGAAACTGAGTGGTTCCAGGGAGGGGGCCCCCGGATGGCAGGCCAGAGACCTGATTTCAGGCCTGTCTCTGTCACCAGGTGGCTGTTTAGGGCAAGTCACCCAATCTCTCTAGTTTTCTTATCTTTCAAACAAGGAGTCTAAACTAAAGGATCTCTAAGATTTCTTCCAGCCCCAAAAGACATGACTTTACTGCCAAGACCAGCAAGAAGAGCAGAGCGCATGTTCCAATTTGGGCGAGAGCCAGAAAAAGCTCGTTTAATATAGTGTGAAGCGACACTGTAACTTGCTTTATTCACTCTAATTATTTTTCCCAACATTTTTTAAACGCACAAGGGTAGCTGTTTATTAAGACTTTTCAGTTACATTTAAAGTTTATATCCAGAAAGTATGTTTTCTGGTCAAGTATATTCTGGGCACTATTTATGTATCTTAGAAATTCTTAACTATTTATTATCTGTCTCAGAAATTCTTAACTTTTCTAAACTACAGTGTAGTCATTCTGATCTTATACCAAGACTTACTGAGCTATCTCTGGGCCTTACCCAAATTTAGGAATAGAAATAAAGTTGAAATATAACTTATATATATAATTTATATTTCAACTTTATTTCTAATATATATCATTTATGATAGATAAAGTTTGAAATAGATATTTATCATCTATGATAGATAAAGTTTGAAATATATATAGCCCACTGTGCTGGAACTTTACTTCTGCAGGAGTGTCAACATTTTATTATGAAAATTTTCAACCATACAGAAAGTTGAGAGAATTTTACAGTGAACACCCATATAGTCACTAATCAGATTCCATAATTAACATTTTACTAAATTTGCTTTATTACATATACCAGGGGTGCCAAAAAAAATGTATACAAGTGGACACTTTGGTCAACATTGCTCATACAGTAGTTTGCCATAATCAGAAGTGTCTGGACGCTGATGGTAGCCACTTTGAGCAGCTCTTGTAATAACAGGTCAAATGTGACTTGTATTCATTTTTTGTTATCTGTATATATTGAGTATTACAATTTTAATTGTTTTCCTTCCTTAAAATGCAAATACATTTTTTTGGCACCCTCTGTATAGACTTCTATCCATCCCACAATCCATCTTTTTAAAAATAATCTTTCAGGGCCGGCCAAGTGGCNCACACACACACACACACACACACACACACACACACACACACACACAATGGAATATTGTTCAGGTATAACACAGAATGAAATCTTGCCACGTGCAACACGGATGGACCTTGAGGGCATTATGTTAAGTGAAATAAGTCAGACAGAGAAAGACAAATACCATATGATCTCATTTATATATGAAACCTGAAAAAAATTTAAGAAAAAAACAAGCTCATAGATACAGAGAACAGGTGGTTGCCGGAGATGGGGGGTAGGGGGATGGGGGAAGTGGGTAAAGGAAGTCAAAAGGTACAAACTTCCATCTATAAAATAAATGTCATGATGATATAATATACAGCATGGTGATTATAGTTAATAATACTGTATTGCATAACGTTTGAAAGTTGCTAAGAGAATAGATCTTAAAATTTCTCATCACCAGAAAATAAAACTCTGTGACTATACATGGTGATAGATGTTAACTAGACTTATTGTGGTGATCATTTCACAATATATACAACTATTAAATCATTGTGTTGTACATCTGAAACTAATATGTTGTATGTTAATTATACCTCAATAAAAATAAATAATTTAAAAAAGAAGTAATCTTGTACTGTCAGTGAGTGTCCAAGTAAATGGATTCTTTCGCTGTGAGGCAAGAACTGAAGAAATGAGAGCTGATCCCATTTTCCCTTCCCAGCCTCTAAGGGAGTTCATGTACCAATCACCAAAATGCAGACTTCTGTACCTAAGAATAGTCCAGTGTGTGTATGTAAAGTTTCCTTGTCCATATGTGACAGCCCTGCCACCTCTAAAAGTATCCCATATGCCTCTATCTTCCATCACCAGCGTCTGAGGGGGTGCAAAAGGGGGATTGGGGCTTGGTCATCAACATTTATATTAATGACTTATTCTCCTATTTGGTTCTGTGGCTTTGTTTTGACTTCACAGAGCCATAGGCCCTGAAATTTTGTCCTTTTTCCAACCACAATGTTTTATTTACCATGTGTCTAACTTCTCTACTAACTTTGACTGTCAACAAACCTGTTCTCTAAACACCTAACTGTTCAACCTCTTTGACTTTATCTTGCAATTAGTCAGTAAACTTCCTGCTTTACTGTAATTATGCTATTTCCCCAAGAGTCTATGTCTACTGTCATGAAACCACTTAAATTTCACTGGTCAAAATCTTTGTTTAATTTTAGGTCAAAGGTATTTTCTGTATGAGGAATAGAGGCTCCTTTAAAGCTAAAATATTCCTGGGGACTATTTTATTGGGGCAGTTTATAAAACCACAGGTGACTAAGCTGTATTGGATTTAAAGTTAGCTAGTGCATCTTATAGAGATAAAGCTTGCATTTAAGAGCAGAGCATAAAAGAGGAGAAAATATTCATTTTCTGACTGATGAGAAACCAGTCATGGGCTTTTTGTGCTCCCAGTGTAACTTTTATTTTCTTATTCTTTTATACGTGAGGAAAAAAAGAATCTAATGTGACTGTATAAATTCAATGTAAAAAATTTTGAAAATACCTAAAAATATACTGAAGGAAAATTTTAAAATTCATAATCCTACTACCCAGAGATAACTACTGGTAATAATTTAGTGTGTATAGCTCTAGACATTTTCCTACACGCGTACATTAAAAAAAAATCAACTGTATTGTGGTATAATTTACATATGATAAAAGGCATCCATTTAAAAGGTACAGCTCAATGCATTTTGACAAATGTGTACACTTTGTCAGCACCACCATTAGGATGTCACCCCAAAAAGTTCCCTTATGCCCCTTTCCAGTCAATCCCCCTCAGGCTCACTCCTGGCCTTTGTTTAGAATTTCATACATATAGAATCACACAGTATGTATTCTTGTGTCTGGCTTCTTTCGCTCAGCATAATATTTTCTGGAATTCATCCACGTTGGGGATATCAGCAGATTGTTCTTTTTGGCAGTGAGTCATACTCCACTGAATGAAACAAACTAACATTTGTTTATTCATCACAGATAGACATCTGTGTTGTTTCCAGTTTTCAGCTACTAACAATAAAGGTGCTATGAATATATATGTATAAGTCTTGGATGAACATATTTTTTCATTTATGTTGGATAAATACCTAGGGGTGGAATGTCTGGTAAATGTATGTATGTTTAACTTTATAGGAAACTGACAAAAGGTTCTCTAACGTGGCTGCACCATTTTACACCCCCACTGGCGGCTGTCTGAGAGCTCTAACTGCTCCCCATCCTTACTCAAAATTGGTTTTGTCAGACTTTTTAATTTTAGTCATTCTGGTGGGTGTTTAGTGTTATCTCACTGTGGTTTTAATTTGCATTTCCTGATGACTAATGAAGTTGAGCAGCTTTTCAATATTTCATTGTTATGATTTGTTCTTCACAATCATGACAACATTTAATGAAAATAAAAGAAAAAAAACCCATCTATCATTCTACCATCCGCAAAAAATCATGTTGTTAATTTTCCATATTGCTTTCCAGGGTTTCTTCTTTATAGGCAGCTTTGACATTTAAATCTAATTGTCATTTGTTTCTCTTTGGCCCAAAGCATTACGTTATTTATTGTGAGGACATGCTGGACTTGCCCCAGAATGCTGAAGATCCACAGCGAAGCAACAAGCCAGCATGATCCAGATACTTACCACGAAGGGCTGCCACCCGAGTTGTCATGCCAGAGCCGGAGGCTGTGCAGTTCCCCTAGAGAGGACTGAGTGCTGAGGAGGAAGACATCCAGTCCCCCGCGTTCAAAGACTGCCTTCTGGGAGTCCCAGAGGTGATGGGGCTCACTCCGTCCCTCTGATCCATAGAGGGTGATAACCACCTAAAGTGTGACAAGGAAAGATAAAATACACGAAATTCTAACATGATTCTTTGGGTTTATCCCTAAGGAGAAAGATAAAGACAGAGAAAACTGTACTGAGCTGAAGTCTGTGGGATGTTAGACAGGTATAGAGGGCCCTTCAGAGTTACAGTTTAGAACGAGGAAATACTACTCTGTGTGATCTCTTGTAGATGCTACAGGACACCGGCGTATCACCAAGTCAGTGTATCTCATGTGGCAGAAGATACAGAGCAATGAATGAAGAACATTTATTTCATTCACCTTAGCAGTTGTAGAGGCCTTTCTTCGATATCCAGTGGAGACCTGAATAAGGTAGTTGAATTGAGAGTTGGGATCATTATCAGCCAGGACGGTGACCTTCACCTGCAAGAAAAGCAGAACCAAGAAAATTGGCAGACCTTTACTGAGTACAGTGGAGCTGCTTCCTCCGGCTAAGACACAGGAGGATGCACTACTGCAGATGTGCCCCTGTACCGAAACAAAGCTGACGTGTAGGTAGAAGGTAAATAGACAAGCAGACCTAAGGTAAGTGATGAGGGGAAAATGAGGGCTAAAAGTCCAGGGTTTATACCTCTAAAATGAAACAGTCATAAAATCAATAGATCAGGCCTTGGGCCTCTAAATCTTCCCACCTCCCTCCCACCCAGGTAGAGTTACCAGATAACATACAGGATACCCAGGTAAAACCTGAATTTCAGAAAAACAATGAATAACTTGGGACATACTTGTACTAAAAATACATTCACTGGCCAGCCGAGGGGCATGTTGGTTAAGAGCTGGCTTGGGACGCCAGAGGACCCTGGTTCGGATCCCACATATGAGGGCCGGTGACACTACCCTCTATAGCTAAGATGCTGAACAACAGCTCAATCTGGAGCTGGACTGCTGTGAGTCGCCAGCAATGGCGTAGGCTGCAGCCCCTGCTGCAGTGGGTTGCCATGGGCTACCGTGTGTAGCCAGCAGCCAGCGTGAGCGGCCAGCA